TCTTGAAGGCCTATTATTAAAACACCCTGCAGTCCTAAGGGAAGAAAAGCAAGCTGGTGCTGCAGATGGGAGCAGTGTGAATAGAATGAACTATAAGCACGAAAGAACTCCAACAAATGCAGTAAAAGCTATGCATTATTCTATTTCCCTTCCAAAGTTCAGTTGAAGTTTCTTGCTTTACTTGTCATTATTCATGAATACCAGCTAACTCATAGTACTATCCCAATATAGAGAACAACAGTAAAGTAAGTTGTTGGCTCTTATTAAATGTGCTTTTGCATAATGCAAGTTAAATCCAATGAGAACAAACCCAAACATGGCAGACATGAATACACAAAGGAAACAACAGCAAAAATATAAAAAACAAAAATAATTTAAAAAAATGCCTACCTCTGACAGACCTCAGATAAACAGAGATCTCCCATAAGACACCCTTGCCTTTACTGCCAACCCTTAAATGAGGTCTGGGAAGGGGTGAATCCTGGTTCCACCCCTTCTGGTCACTAAGGCACAGTGCTTGCACCTGAGCTCCGCTGGGTTGGCCCTGCTTTCCCACCAGGTGCTCAATCACTGGTTCAAGCTGTGACTTAGCATTTCTGCCGCACTCATTTTATTATTTTTATTTCATGTAAAGATCTTGCCTAATAGTTTTAGTCAAATTGGACTCTGTCTCTGAAACACATTCACAACCATCATCTGAAGTGTGTTGGGCCCTGGTAATGGAGATGCAAACATTTTGTAGGAGTTTCTAGAGCAATGATACATCAGCATACACATGTATAAAGCTAAGCATAGCATTTTTGAGGTACTGTATAATGCATCAGCAGAGCGGTACTGCTCCTAAAGCTGTTCTTATGAAAAATTTTCTGCCTCCCTCCATAAAACATATTGGCACCTGTTCACACAAACATACTGGTAAACTGAATACCTGTAAAACATTGAAACAATGGATACCAGGAAAGAAAGGAGAGAACATTATAAGGGACTTTGGGCCAAATAAAGTGTGTACTTATGCACTTCTATAGAACACAAAATCTTTTTTTTTTTCTCTTATTTGTTTTTAGTGTCTCCATTGATCCCACTTTTGAGAGTGTTCCATTTGATAGGTACAGTAAATAAAGCTTTGCAGCTCTACTTCCCTTTAAAATATTTTTAGTATGAACAACTATCAGAGCTATGTGACTGCATCTAAAGTATTTTTTGTCTTACCAGAATAAACAGTTTGTCAGGGTCTCTTTCTAATTTTGGTTTCTGAGAGAAAAGCAGACATGGCTAAAGTGATACCACATTGGTTATACAGTCACTTAGCCACAGCTCCACTCCAGCTGAGGCTAAATATACCACAGCACTAGGTACAATGCTTCCTATCCTACCAATTGCACGTACGTATACATTTAATTCATAATTTCCTGATATGGAACTAAAAGATCTGATGCACACTTACAAACTGTTGCATACTGTCCTGAACCACAAAGATCTAAATTTTTACATAACAGTTTTTGGTTTTGATTTAATTGAAGTACATTCATAGCTGCAAAATGCTGCAATCAGCATCTTGCTCAGCTCCATCCCATAGGTAGTGTCCAGGTCTGGGGCCTTTGGTGGAGGAAAGTTATTTCCTGGCTGACTGACAAGCACTTGACGCAAAATTGTTTTGTAAGAATCATAAATGCAGTAATGTTGCCCAAGAATCATATAAATAATGCTCACAGTAACACACCTGTCATTCTGTGGCACTAAATGCATCAGAATGAGTTTCATTAACATTCCCAGATCTAGATGGGAATGGATAAAATACTCTGAAGTCGATATAATTGACGAAATATTCTTGAAAGTTTATATTTTATCATACTTTCACAGTATAGATGTGTAAGAATCAGTAGTTTACCATTAATTTGCAGCAGAACCAGATTCACTCTTTCTTTAATCTTATTCTGACATATATTAAGGGACAATCTGAATGACAAGCTGACATTATATTCTAAAAACATTGTGGGTTTTTTTTTTTTTTGTTTTTGTTTTTTTGTTTTTTTTTTGTTTTTTTTTAAACAAAGGAAGACATTAGAATCTTATAGAATATAGAATCATAGAATAGCTTGGGTTGGAAGGGACCTTCAAGATAATCTAGTTCTCAGCCTGCCATTTTGTCACAAGTATCATTGATAGTTTCAATATCAGCAATTCTTCTCAGTGAGAACACTGTATATGAACTATATATGAACTAGTATATCAACACATACTTATCAAACAGTGTTAAAATTTCCTTGAACTGTTTAACTGGGTTTAATATTACTAAAAGATGTAAGAAACAAGAATTTTCAGTCAAAAGGGAATTCCACCATCTCAAAAGCTGTTTCCCTTATGATCTCAAAGCAGAATTTGAAATTTTATACAATTGCCTTGATGTTATATCAAGATGTATAAATCAATGATTTGGAGAAACTGCAATTCCATTCAATTTTGTTTATGCTAGAAGACTATAGAATTTAAAAAAGAATAAAAAGCAGTAATGCAAAATAAAAGTATTTTAATTAAAATTGAATATTTCAGCAATATCAAAACAAGAGAGAATTTATTTTGGCATTCAAATTGAAATTTTTATAATAATTGATATTTTTATGTGAAATATTTTGATGCAGGAAAAAAGCAGCTTCATCATTTTGAAGCTCAAAATCATAAATCACACATTACAATTGATATGTGAGCAACATCCCAATTCAGAATATACAGTCGGTGTTTAACATGAAATACAAAGTGAGGAGAGTGTGAAGGAGACTTACTAGGGGGCTGTGTATTACAATTAGGCACCCACAATTTTCAATTTTTTTCACCAATGATATTTTAAAAAGCCTTTTTCATACAATTTTATGTTATCTTTGCACCTTTCTTTCTGAATATAGGTAAGATAATGATGAATGTTCCAGGGAGAGGGTAATTGCTTTGCTAAGTAGATTCGGTGACATCACAGGAAATATGTGCATGAGAAGTCAAAAGGATGAACATAATCTGTAGATCAGACGTTTTGAAAAAAAGTCAGAAAGAAAAGCAAGGGACACATGAACCAACAGATTAAAAAACAAAGATAAGAAATTCGCTGTCATGTTGTACAACTGATGATCAAACAAAGTGAACAAAATGATAATATTATCAAAGGTCCCTACATCTCCATTTATTAGAAAATGTATTAAACTATTTTACACAGCTCTGATTATCCTGCAGTATTTCTGGGCTTCATTTCAAATGAATTCAATGCTACAGTTCTGTGTTTTTTTGTTTTTTTTTTTTTTTTAATATGTAATGCGAACAGTGGGGGCTGTTTAGTGTGCCCTTATGCCAGTAAAGAAGCCTTTCATTATTCTGCATTTCTCCTGCCTAGCACAATAATACAGTTTAATCTTTAGGAGCTTTTTTTTTTTTTTTTTTTTTTTTTCCTCCTTTGGCTAATGAGGGGAATAAAGTCTTTAGTCTCTTTAATACTCAGCTACTACTTAGTACTCAGCTACTACTTAAATTCTGCTACTGTGCTTCAGAAATGCTGTTGTCTCTTTGCCTCGCTGTCTGAATCAGGTTAGGTGTGTGAAACTTTGAAGAACTGCACAGAGATCCTTGTAGGGAAATACAGTTCTTTGTGCTAAAACATTTGAAATGAATACTTAAAATGTTTCAGGCTGTTAGTCTTCTTTATCAAAGCTGTAAGTATCAATTAGAATGGATTCTTGTCTATTATTTGAATCCCTTTCATTCGCAGTAGTGCTGTATTTATAAGTTAGTGGCTCTGCATTATAACCACTATCTAATAATAATGGCAGTCCCTAAGACAGATCGGAGAAAGAAAAAAACAGTATTTTCCAATTTTTCATTATTTGTTTACCCACTTTTGATTAGGAAAAGGAGGAAAGTAACCTGCACATTTTTTCCCCATTTTTTCCTTTTTTTTTTTTTTTTTTCATTTCAGTGCTTTACTGTGACAGCTGTTGGTGTGACATAAACATTGGAATGTGTATCTATACTTTGTTTCTTTCAGTTTTGCTATAACTAAATTTCATTGACACTTTAGGAAATGCGAACATTTTCCTTCCATCTGCTAGATGGCTTTTAAAACCCATTTAGTTTGATTTAGCAAATCTGGAAACAGCTGGCAAAAATGTATTTTTATTAAGTTCAGATTCATATTTGCAAGAAATGTGACTTTCATAGTCTTTCTTAAGGTCTGTAATTGGTTTCTATTTCTCAATTGTACAATTTCTTTCTAAATGCTAATCAACCAGGTGGTCTGATGTTTAGTTATCATTTTGCACATTAACCAGTTTAACGCGTCTCCGTTTAAATGTCTATAGCTGATGATTCAAATGATGTGCTCAAAAACTGTAGGAATGGTTACTTAGTTTTCAGCCATTACCTCCTTTTTCTTTTTAATTCTGAAGTTGATCGTGCTGATTAAGTAAGCTAAAAAAGAACATGAAATATAGGTTACATGCACTGGACGCTTGTATGCATAAACCTCAACATTTTGAAGGCTCTGATCTACAATCAGAGAAAAGATGCTTTATGCCCTAACTCTTTCTATTTGGTTTTGGATGTGAGAGCCTATGCCTCCTACTCTCATTCCACCTTCGCTGGCTCCATTTTCCCAGTGGGAGATATTCTGCAGCTAGCAAAAAACAGTGGATCTTTTTCATAGTGACAAGTCTGGGATTCTGATCTTTCAGAGCTGCAGAAAAACATGTCCATGCGTGTGAATCCATTGACACAGAAAAGCAATGCTTTGAGCCACATTCTTTGATCTGCTACATCTGCTTAGAGCTGCACCCTGCCAGCAGACTTTAACTCTCCAAGCTGGGCTAACCTGGCCAGGGCAAAATGTGATATTATGGAATATTTCTGATAGAATAAAGCTTAAAAAAAAAAAACTCAAAGAGCTTTTTATATCATTTTCCCCAACACGCTGGATACAGCTGTAGTAAAAGAGCATCACAGAAACAATTTGTGTGAAACCATACCTGACAGGAAGCTTCAGGTCTGTGAAGACATTTCAAGCTGTTATTTTGAGGACGGGCAATGAGGAACAGATGTCCACAGAATGCTGCCAGGATCTGAGATACCAATAAGGATTGAGTCATCATTACTAAACAAATTTCATCTGTGCTTTAGATCATTCATATTTTTAAATACAAAATATTTAAATGTGAAATATGAAATATTTTTAAATATGGGTTCTATGTTTTATTTTTATTTTTTTCCATAGCATTACTCATAACATACATTTTTGTTACCTCATTCACCATCACAATTTGTGATCAGAATTTCAAGAGATAATTTATTTCGAAGAAAAAAATAATGCTATAAGTATTGTCATTTGAAATATTGTCCATAAATCAGAAATTTGTGATAATATCATGGCAGTGCTATATTCATCATCTTCATGCTCAGTCTATTCCCATAGATTCTGTTATTAGCTCCAGCAGATGCCATTGGCATGAGCAGAGTCAAACACTTCCAATACTTTTGGGAATCCAGACAGTATAGATAAATCTTCACTGACTTTCTATTGATGAGGTTAGTTTCTTTCAAATGAAGTAAATATCTGTGTTCCAAAATTGCCTGTGAAAAATGCCACTAGACACTTGGGTGCAGAAGGCTGACAAATTTGAATGATGTCTCTCAATAAAAGATCAAAAAACTGAGCAATATCAGGCTTGTCTGACATTTTGTAGTACTTCTCAATAGCATAGCAATAAACAAATGCAACCATAGGCATTGGAAAGTTCCATGTAGACTTAGACTCTAAAAACTCCCTTTCCCTCACTGCACTTGCTCCCTCAGGTTTGAATAGAGTTTTTAGATAATAAAAGTAAATACTGTTGAGAGAGTATTTGGGGTTTGCATAACCTACATTGCAGTGTTTTACCACTTATGTATTCAATTATGCAAATATGTTTTACATGCTGCATGTATCCCAGACAAACAAAGGCCTTAAGTCATTAAACAATAAGATTCAGAAATTCAACGCAAATTGCTAAACATTCACGGACACGTCTGCCAAGTCATATCTTTATCTTTTTGTGTAAGTAGTTCCGATATTCTGAGATGTAGTAATTAAAATTTCATACATGCAAAGCTGTATGATATGCATTTTTAATAGGGTAAGTTATAAATACTATGGCTTTTATTGATACAATGTACAAGAAACACTTTTGTTTTGAAAAGCTTCATGTAATAATTTGGCCATATTTACCCAAATCATTTAGTTGTTGATGTGGAAAAATGCTATCTGTGTTTCATCATTTCGCTGTCAATGCAATGTATAGCTTACACTTATGGACTACAAAAGAAGCCACAGTGACAAGGAATTTAAAATTGTCTCAGCTAAAACTAGTTTTAAATCCTAGTTTTATATCTTTATATTTCGGTACATGTAATCTAGACAACATGGGCTATCTCTGCTAGTAGCACTGAATCATAGGAATAGGATGAGTATGTGAGGAGGTGTGCTTTCAGAACACTTTAGAAGTAGCACCTGATAACACAGTCAATACATGCTGTCAACTCTTAGGTTTACGCTAACTTTATGTACATGCCAAATCCCAGCCATGGACAGCATAGGAAACAAACATTAACTTACTTTGTAAATCAGAAAATCTTTCCTGTTCAGGCTTCTGAATGCAGGCACCAACAAGAGCAGAAAGAGGGCAATAACCAGAGGCAGCCACACACCTCATGGCGTCCACTTCAATCTCTCTTCTCCTCCATAGGCTGCTCTCACCACCTGGAAGAGCAGCAAGAGAAGATGTGACCACTCAGCCTACACTCAAGTCAGAGCAGTCCCAAGCATCTTCACTCAGTTGCTCAGAAACTGTGTGCACCCGTTCTTCATGTGTTTGAGACTCAAGAAGCTTGATAATATAATTATATAATTATATAATAATCAGAAACTTGATTTTGTGTTGCTGCACACACCTTAGCCAAAATCTTTTGCCATTTTGCATTCTTTTATTAAGATCCCTGATTTGTTCCAAGTTCTTCTCCTTGACTGCCCCATTGCATTATTCAGGTGAAAGCTGGACCTAAAGATGGGTCAAGACAATATGGAATGGCAGACACAGGGAAAATCATACCGTTTGTGGCTGGTATGATAACACAAGTATCTTGTATAAGATACTGAAGCTTACTTTTAGGCTTCTCTCCAGACACATAACATATCTCTTAGATGTGCCGAATAGCAGATTACCAGAAAGCAAAGAACAAGGCTGATGTGGTGCTGTAACATTTGCCAAAATTCACAGCTCAAAGACAAACTTATTTGGGAAGGAACTCATTGCTGGCATTGTCATTCTTTGCTATTGTTACAAGGCAATTAATATACAAAAATAAGGCAGGAAGGAAGGGAGGAAGGAAAGAAGGTAAAAGAAACACCATTAACATTAAGAAGTTATTGATAGAGCTGTACTCTTTTGCGAGGTTAACATCTATCTCAGGACAGAAGAGAAAGTTGCGGTAGTGTTGCTAAACTCAGTCACTATTTTAGTGGTGGATTTGGTGTAAGAACATTTCTGTGTGTTTCTCTCGGTTTGTTGCAAACAGCTTGTATGTTTATGAACGTCCCCAGGCAAGTAGTACGCTGCCTTTGATAGGAAAAATGGTGAGCACCTTTAAAATACCATTGTCTGTTTTGCACACACACAAAAAAAACCACAAATAAATAGATATTGTATAGCATAAAATAAATTCCAGTTCCTCCATTTCAGTCTGACACACTAATTATGCAATATAGTAGTAAGAGAGAAAGCTTAGTGAAGCACACATCCATAATGACCTTCCTGATATGCTCTAATCTCCTAATGGAACAATACAGTGCACTTGGCAGGTGTTTAGGGATCCAATCTGTCAGGATCAGGAAGAACAGATGATGCTTCCTGACAGCATATTTATGAAAGCATGCCATGTCAAATTTAGATTTTTTTTGAATGCCCTCTATTTTGAGTCCCTGACTTGAGACACCACTAAGGTGACCCAGCAAACATGGTGACCAAAGATATTCACTTAGGTGGGAGACTCCAGCCATCCCTGATAAGCACAACCAAAACCTCCTTGATTAAGTGTCCTTGGCAGGACAAAAAAGACATAACAATGAACTGACCTTCCAGGAAATCAGTAGTCAGCAACAACTGTTTTCAGAATGGTTTGTCTTATGCACGTTGTTATGTACACCAGAAAGTTATGAAGAGTCATAAAACGGCCTGGGTTGAAAAGGACCACAATGATAATCTAGTTGCAACCCCCCTGCTATGTGCAGGATTGCCAACAATCAGACCGGGCTGCCCAGAGCCACATCCAGCCTGGCCTTGAATGCTTCCAGGGATGGGGCATCCACAACCTCCTTGGGCAACCTGTTCCAGTGCCTCACCACCCTCTGTGTGAAAAACTTCCTCCTAATATCCAACCTAAACCTCCCCTGTCTCACTTTAAAACCACTCCCCCTTGTCCTATCACTATCCACCCTCATAAACAGTTGTTCCACCTCCTGTTTATATGCTCCCTTCAAGTGCTGGAAGGCCACAATGAGGTCTTCCTGGAGCCTTCTCTTTTCCAAGCTAAACAAGCCCAGTTCCTTCAACCTTTCCTCATAGGTGAGGTGCTCCAGCCACTCATCATCCTAATGTTCCTCCTCTGAACCCATCCCAAGAGCTCCACATCCTTCCTGTGCTAAGAGCCTCAGGCCTGGACACAGTACTCCAGATGGAACCTCGCAAGAGCTGAGTAGAGAAGGACCATCACCTCCCTCTCTCTGCTGGCCACTCCTTTTTTAATGGGTGTCACTCGCTATCCCCTCTGCATAAGTCACCCACTCACACCAGATCCTCAAAAAGAACATGTAGTTCATTCCAGACTTGGTGACATGCAGTTTCACCAAGTATATAAAGTATAATAGATGTGTTCATGGAAATAGGAGAATTCAGTCCATATTGTGCATCTGATGAAGTAAATTTACAAATAGAAATTAGAATTTTAGATTAGAAAACAAAAACAAAAACAAAAACAAACAAACAAAACAAAACAAAACAAAACAAAAACCAAAAAAAACCCCACTTCTAATAGATTCTAGTTTAAGAAAATATTCTGGTGATAAAAATGTCTGTCCCATTGTGTCTTTGCTCCCTTCTCCATATTGCATCTAATGGCTACATAAAAACAGTTTTAGGCAAAACTGAATAAACTCATCTTTTTTCCTAAAATAGCAAAGGCATGTGTTAGCAGTGGAGCTGACAATATCAAATATTTTATTTCTTGACAATGCTTAGATTTCCTTGGTTTGGTGAGAATGGATGTACTCCCTATTCAGCTGTTAATAAACAACTTATGCTGAAGTCTTATTTTACTTTTCCTTTCCCCCTTTGCTCAATAGCAGAAAAAAGCACTTAAATTGCATAGTTTGAATACCTTTGTAAAACTAACTGTGGTACTCATTTTGCCCTGAATGCTACAATGCAAAAGTTGCTTAATTTACCAAATCACTTGTAATATGAATGGCTATGATCAAGCAAAAGAATTTTCCCTCAGCCTTTTAAAATATATTTTACCTGAAGGGCAGTATATTTTTTCTCACTTTAATGTACCACACGTTATTATATCCTTGGTATTATGTTGGTGTATTCTTAGGACATCTTTGCAAGGCTGATTGACATTGCAATGCTCTGTCAATTGCTACATGCTCTTTAAAGTAGCATAGAAGGAGTCCTATTATGATCAAGATCACACTAACTTAAGAATTGTACAAATAATCTTTAAGATATAAGTCTGTACTATAAGAAGATAAACAAAGATAAGGAACACAGTGAGACTAAACAATCTGTAGCCAATCTACAGAGCAGACTACTGGCAGACACATGGGTAGAACTCAATCAGTTCCATTTTGCTGCCAGACCTGCTGGGACATGCTAACTAAACTTCTACTGAACAAAATATTGCCATTATACAGCACTTCATTGAAAAACACATGACTAAGCATCAATATAATTATCCTTTTGTTCAGCTGACAGCGGTGCTCTAGAAAAGTGTCTGCATTTGGAACCATCTTGTTGGCAGCTTCATCATGCATACCAAATATGAAGTGCGTGATACTTTGGTGCAACTGATTTGTCAGACTTTCTGTAGCCCACTGAGTTAGAGTGATTTTTTTTCCTGATAAATGATAAATGATGCCAGTCTTTGACAGAACTGAGATACAGTGGATTGAATTTCCAAACTAGCATTTCTTCCTGCTGTCTGACCTGAGGCAAAACCTATATTTTTCAGATCTGGGGATATCCACACAGGAGAGTAAGATACTGCTTCTTATCGAAAGCAAGACAAGAAAGATTATGTTAAATGTATCCCTATGGCAAATTACTGACCTCAGCCTAGAAGCACTGGATTTGCAACAACCAGTACGGCTGCATATATAGAATATCCCCAGTAAATCACAGAAACTGACCATGAGAATCCTTTTTGATCAACTGCAAATTCAAAGTTAAATTTTCTTAAATTGTCTATTTTGGTGGCATTTGCATTATCACCTAGCTGGTCATCACATTCCACATGAGACTAATGAAGTAGCAAGGCTGACATTTTAAATTAAATGCAGCTCACAACCAAATGTATTCACATTCTTAAGCAAACCAAAGTAATGTACTGAGGCATTTCTCCTGTCATTATTACAGCATATATCCAAAAAAAAAAGAGACTTCATACTTAGTAAGCTAGGTAGTGTGCAACTCTTTTCAAATGAGAAACAAGAAACGCAAACATTCTAACTTAAATGACTGTAATAAACTACTCACACAATGATACTGTGCACAGTAGTACTGCAATTTGCAAAAGTTAATTAAAATTCTCCTTATAGAAAGGAATGAAAGTGTTATAAATTGTTTCAGTGAAAAGTTTGACCACTTCTATTTCCATCTAATGATCAATAAAGAATAATTATTTTACATGTGAAATCTTTACTCAAATACATGTCCAAACACAACGCAGATGTCTTTACACAATACTGAGTGCACATGTTGAGTAGCTTGTTTGTTCCTTTTGTTTGCTTACTAAATAATGAGAAATGCCGCTGTTCTTAAACTTTTCATTTGGCAATGAGCACCCAGTATGCCGTCCAACAGTTGATACACTTGTTACTAACTTCTGCAGTACCTCTTGGAGAGGACTCATTTTTACTGTCTGACATTAGTGTCAGTGGGTTACCTCAGACTCTAGATTTTAGTAGTTTTATCTGCAGCAGATAATACATTGTGCTCTGCTTCTATTCTCCTTATTTAAAAAAAAAAAAAAAAAATCAACACTGCTACAGTCAGCAACACTAGTGACATTTAATGGATTGTTCTATTATTTCATTATTTTTCTATAATGTACCATTCAGTTGTATACACAAATTGTGCTTGCCAATAGTTCTGTTACCTTGCCTCTTTATAAATTGTTTCCATCTGTGCAAAAACAATGTAAAAAAAAGTGAAAAAGATTGTTGTAAAGCGCGTAGTTTTGCTCATGTTGAAATAAAAATAAAAGCAGAACAAATATTCTATTGAAAAGTTGCTCCTTTCAAGAAAGGGGTTGTCATGATTTTATGATTTTTGGTTGTTGCTCTTCCACATCATAATATCTCTGATATTTCCAGCTAGCTGGACAGGGCAATGTTTATAACAGTCAACAGTGAGGCAGGGCTCACACAGCAACTTATATCAGCTATTGATGCTGATGGTAGAGTAACATTGGTACAG